TTGGCACCTACGTAGTGTTTCGTGCGCACCCGTTCCTCTTTCTGCCTCCCCAGTGACGTTGCGGGGCTGAGTTAACTTCCTTGTTTTTTGCTGACTCATGGGTCCGAATCAGCTTGGGTCTCGAGCTCACGTATCTGAATCAGTGAGTGCTTGTAATCTTGCTTACGTTGACCCAGCCCAGAAGATGAACATCAGTGTCCGCCACTGGCAGGCTTTCAAATCACGATGCCCAGTTAGCTTTCCGAGCAAGAACACATGTCCATTACCTCCTTTGGTCAAGCTTGATTTAAGTTTTCCAACTTTGAGATGATATTTCAAGATTGATACGACTTTTTTTTTTTTTCCTTTGTCTTTGCTCATAGAATTGGTTAAGATCTCTTCCCCTAGTGACTGGAGCAGATGGTCCCTAACCTCAAAGCAAAGACCTCTTGGTGTGATAAGTCTCACTGATCGGAGGAAACAGGTGTGAGTCGGGAGAGGAGGAGCTCAGGAAACAGAGGATGCTCAGTAACTGGCCTAATTTGGTGTGGGATGAATGGGGCGAGTTGGGATAGAAAGAGCTGAAGTTGGATATTCCGGTTCATGTTGTGTCCTAAGTGGATTTGAACCGAAGCCAGGCTCAGCTCTTCAGGTGAGAGGATTTCATGACCCTGAGCCTGACATAGAAGCAGGATTACAGAGGGAGAGGGTGGGGCAAGTGGAAGGAGGAGGGATGGTGGGGCTGAAGCCATCCCGGAGGTAAAGGACTTGAATCTGAGCAAGGAGAAGTCTCGGGCAAGAAGTCATTACTGCAGGTGTTCCTTTGGTAGCAGTGAAAGCTGAAGTATGTGCCAGGGTGTGTGTGTGTGTATGTCATTCTTTCCCTCCTCCCTTCCTCCTTTTTTCCCTCCCTTCCTCCTGCCCTCAACCTCTTTCTGTACTTCTGTCTCCCTTTGGAAACTGGACCTTTGGCCTCCTTTCTGCCCGCTAGGCAAGCGAGCAGTTACTGAAAAGGCTGCACACAGGCTGGAAACAGAAGTTCAGGCAGGAATGGAGAGGAGCAGAGTGAGTGGGAACAGGAGGTGAACAGGCTGTGTGCTTTCTCTTGCCTTCTTTCTTCCGCCCACAGATTCTCTTCTGTGTATGCTATTTTTCCTCTCAAGAATAATAGATGTCTATCAACTTGCCTGGAGGTGAAAATACTGAACGTTTTTAATCTGAAGCAGGCTATTGTTAGTTAGTTAGTTAGTGGCTTCACAGCCCACCCAGAGATCAGGCACTTAGGGTTAAGATGTAAGATTTGGGGTTCATTGGCGGTGATGTGGTCACAGCCTTCTCAGCCCCGCGCAGTGCGTGCTCTCCGGCTTGTCTGCCAGCTCTGGTTAGAGGCTTCCTTCTTCTGTTGTATGAAGAGCAGATTTTTAAAAGCGATTTTGTGGTATATTTATTCCTTCACACAAACGCTGATGGTTTGTTTATTTGTGGTTATATTGGTTGACATTCAGGTTATTTTTATTTTATTTTTTTACATATTAGAAACAGAGCTGCTGAATTCGGGCGAATCCTTTGGCTATAGTAAATGACTAACGTGCCAATGGTATTCTAAAATGATTGCATAGTCTCACCAGCAGCATGGACTGATCACTCACATAAAGCACTTATCAAGAACTTGGAACCCCACTTCAAGGTGGTGGCACAAGCCTTTAATCCCAGTACCTGGGAGACAGAGGTAAGCAGATCTCTGAGTTTGAGGCTAGCCCGGACTACAGACTAAGTTCCAGGACAGCCAGGGCTACATAGTGAAACTCGGCTTCTAAAAAGACCTTGGAGCCTTTTATCCCAGCACGTGGGAGATGGAGGCAGGCAGATCTCTGTAAATTCAGAAGCCAGTCTATTCTACAGAGCAAAAGTTCCAGGACAGCTGAGGCTACACAGAGAAAGGCTCTCTCAAAAGACAAACAAAACAAAAACAGAATTTGGTATATTTGTTTCACTGTCTTTTTTTTCAGGGTTTCTTTTGTGGAAATACTTGTTTTGATTTGAGACAGTCTCCCTGCCTGAGGCCCCAGGGATGAGAGTATAGATGCTGGCCACCCACCTCATACTTGGTTTGTTGGACTATTTTTAAAACTCAAATTGATTGGTAGATTAAGCAATATAAACGGCATAGAAAATTCAGGATTTACAAAATAAGTGATAGCATGTCCAAGGGCTGGAGAGATGACTCAGCAGTTCATCCTGGGGCCAGAGAGATGCTGACTCAGCAGTTCAGAGATAACCGCTTTTCCAGAGGACAGAGGTCAATGCCCAGCACCCACAACAGACAGCTCAGAGCAGCCTGTGGCTTCAGCGATAGGGGACTGGACAGGCACTTGCACTCACATGGCCTCGCACACAAAACACTGGGTTCAGCTCCAAGCACTGCATACTCTGGCTGTTGTGGTGCATGTCGAGTCTGGAGGTAGGAGGATCAGAAGTTTATGGTCCTCCTCAGCCACACTGAGACTTCATTTGAGGCCAGCCCAGATATGAGACGCTCTCTCAAACAAAATCACACAACCACAGTTATAGCTCTAAATTCCATTGTTACACTTAACTAAATTTATAACAATAAGAACATATTTAAAAAAAAAAAGAGTATTTGGGAAAGAGCGAAGTGGTCAACAGAAACCCCAAGAGTCACTGTGAAGTGAGCACAGCCAGAGTGTCCCGCTAACCTAAGCCTTGCCAAGTTAAGCTAGACCACTGTGAGAAAGGACAGGAAGGTGGACTGGGATCCAGCTACTTGCCTGGGTCGTTGGTGCAGTGACTCACATGTCAAGGTCCACAGCAACGAACAGCCAGGAGAATGAGATGAGACCAACGTTCGGGTCTTGACAGCTAAGTCAGTTGGACATCGGTCTTGCCACTCCCTTGGCGTCACGTATTCTTGTTCTTGAATCTCAACGCTCCCCAACGCTAACCTACAGCTGTCCATTGTAATCGTTCTCTGTCTGTTTAAAATTAGGCCAACCACATCTGTGGGTCAGAAGGAAGCTGGGTTTTGGTAGAGATGGACCCTCACAGGAACACTGATCTAGATCAAGAAATGGGACATTACCAGTTTCCAGAATGTTCCCCTGGAGAGCATACAAGGCCACAAGCTGAGGGTCCTTGCTGCATTTGCTTAATACCTGGGAATGAGATCGAAGAACAGCAGGGGAGGAGTCTAAGAGTACAAATGCACGATTATCTTGTATTTTCCAGAGGGAACTTAATTATCTTTCATCTAGAGCAGTGGTTCTCAGCCTTCCTAATGCTGTGGCCCTTTCCTGCAGTTCCTCATGTTGTGGTGACTCCCAACAAAATGATTTTCATGGCTGCTTCGTAACTGTAAAATTGGTACTGTTACAGATTGTCATATAAATATCTGTGTTTTCTGATGGTCTTACAGCAGCCCCTGTGAAAGGATCTTCTGACCTCAAAGGGGTCACAACCCACAGGTTGAGAGACACTGTTCTAGATCAGAAATGGGACGTTACTAGTTCCCAGAATGTCCCCATGCCCCCCTTCTCCTGGAGTGTACATTTGTCACTTCCGTATGTTTCGGTAGGAACAATGTCAGAATGGGTGTTTGCCTCCTTTCTTTGTTTGTTTTTGTGTTTTTGAGACAGGGTTGCTCTGTGGAGCCTTGGCTATTCTGGACTCGCTTTGTAGACCAGGCTGGCCTCGCACTCGCAGAGATCCACCTGTCTCTGCCTCCCTGAGTGCTGGGATCACGGGCATGCTTGTTTTGAGACAGGGTCCTTATGAACCCAGGCTTACCCCACGGTGAGGCTGAGGCTGTGACCCTCTCCCGCCTCCCGCTCCCGAGCTGCTGCAATTGCAGGTGCGAGCCGCCTCTTCCACTCTTGAAAACATTGTTTTTAACTACAATTTTAACTGTGTGTACGCATGTTTTGCCTGCGTGCATGTTGGCGTACCCTAACACCTACTACCCAAGGAGGCAAGAAGACAGCATTGATCCCCCACCGAGACTGGAGCTGCAGGAGGTAGGAGGCACCAAATGGGTGCGGGGTACTGATACGGGTCCTGTGGAAGGACAGCCATCTGTCTGTCCTCCCACTTCTGCCTTTATACGCTGAAGATGGAGCCCACTGCCCTGTGAAGGCCAGGCAGGGACCCTGCTGACTGAGCTATGCCCCCAGCCCCACCTCTTTCCTTGATACAGGCTTATGACTGAGTCGGCTTCGTGACCAGCCAGGGTTTCAGTGAGAGAGGGTGTTCAGAACAGTGGACTTGTGACCTTTGCAGTGTTGGTAGGTTAAGGGCTAAGTTATGTGTGTAATTACCATGCTCTCTTTGGGGCTGCAGCAGGCCTGACTTTCCTAATTGGATGCTTAGAAAGTTCCCTGTGTAACTGTGGGAGAGAACGCTGGTGTGATTTATAACTGGGCAGTTATTCCGAAAGTTCACTCAGCTAATTTGGAGTTAATTATGGCTAAGATGGTTTTAGCTTCTGCCTCCACTTCTACAGGCCTTTCACATGCCGTGTTATTTATGTACCAATGACTTGCTAAAGGGAGAGGGCCACAGGGCAGCTTGTGCAATTAATCTCTTGCATTAGACTGAGAGCCAGCTCTAATTCTAATTTTTTTTTTTCATCCAAGCATGCTCTGTGTTGGCTCAGCATGAGCATTTGGTAAAGGGCAAAGTTCAGATATTCAAGGCTTTATTTCCTTAAGCCGAGTTGTAAATTTAAAAGAAAAATTTCCTAAGATCAAGCTATGACAGTTTAAGGGGTGTGTGGGAGCTGAAAGACCAGGATTAATCTGTTCAAGTCAGCGAGGCTTTCTTTAAAAAGACTGTTATTGTTTTGTTTTATGTATACGGGTATCTTACCTGTTCATGTCTGTACACTGTGTGTGCCTAGCGCCCTTAAGAGGCCAGAGGATGGATGAGATCGCCAGGAACTGGAGTTACATATAGATGTTTGTAAGATGCCTGTAGGTGCTGGATATGAAATCCGGATCTGCAAGTATTGCAGCCAGTGTTCCTAACCACTGAGCCATCTCTCCACCAACTCCTGGTTTTCTGAATGACAATGTAAGAATTATTTTGAGTGTGTGTGTGTGTGTGTGTTAAATTTTGCTTTCCTTCTTGACACCCTTTTTAGTGTCTAAAGAAATATTCTATTTTTCTAGCCTCTAATTTGATGCCTGGCACAGTTTGCACTGTGCAGTGATTACATTAGTTATTTTTTTTTTCTGTCAGAAGTTTATAATTTGGCAAACTGGATGTATAAGTTTGACCTGCTGTAGTTACTGTCCCTGAGGAAGGAAGCGGCCTGTGTTGAGTAGCAACTCCTTTTAGCACCTACTTAGTAGAATTTATCTTCAGATATTGTGTGCTTATTGATATTAGACCTATAGGCTGTAGCTGCTCTCTCATACTACAGAAATATATGTTTTTCTGTTATGGGTTTTGCCATGTATGTGCTCAGAACTCTGCTTGACAAATAAAATAATATCTTGAGAGATTAAGCTTGCTTAGTGGTTTTAAAGTTGCTAAGAGATTTGACAGGTTAATGTGATGTAAGAGCTTGGGTTGAATCTTGGGTCAGGAAAAAATTGCTTTGAACGATATTATTGGGACAGCTGTGAAAACTTGAATAAGGAAAATTAGACGCCAGCATCATATTAGTGCCAATTTGGTTCTGATACTTTTGTTCTGCTTAAATTTCCTGAGGAAATGTCTGCTGGGAGATGAAGAACATGGTGGGCCAGAAAAGAATAAGCTTTATACATAGAGATAGAACAACAAAGCAAACAGTGGCGGAACGAACGTAGCTTGTAAGTCTGGGTGGATGACACATCCTTGTACTTTCTGTGCAGTTGGCATTTTATAAAGGACCTTCTCTTAGGTGGGATCCCTGAGTTTATTAATAATGTTATTAGTTTATTAATAATGTTTATTAATAATGTTTTATTCTGCTCCAAAGTGCTGAATTGTTTTCCAGCACAGTTGTACTAATTTTATTCCTGTTGGTGCCCATGTTCAGAGCACTTGAAATTGCCATATTGGGGCAGAGTTAACATCTCTCTGGGTATCGTGAAGCTGGATAGCGTTTTAGAACATCGAGTCATAAAGGCTGTGTTCTTAGCCTTTTTTTCTTACTGAGCTTTGAATTTGTTTTTCTGCTGTTTTTATTTTGCATGTCACTATATTCTAGAAATCTATTCTTTGTTGATTTTGTGGTATCACAACTGTCCACATACTTTTGAAAGATGCTTAGCTAAAGCTATATATAAAATTGTTACATTTTATTGGAGGTCCTGGAGCAGAGAATATTGTGTATCAGGAGTGCAGGTCTGGGGTGCCTGAGTGTTGACAGGGCTCTTTTCCCTTAGAACAGTTACTTAATCAGCTCATAGTTGCATTCTCTCATTTCTGGCCTTTCTGAGAAAGGCTATTTCTAGGAGGTTTATCAACTGTCCCCCGTGTATTTCATTCAGAGATTTACTGGATAGCTTGTACTTTCTTCCCCTTGTAGATGTTTAAGAAATGTAGATGTTGCTAAATAATGAAACTGTTGCACTGCTAAGTATTGGCCACTACTTGGATAGAGTGCCCTTCCCTAGTGGCATTGCAGAGCCTGTGCAGCAAGAGGGCTACTTGGTTAGGGAGACTGTCTTCGACTATCCACTGGCACTAATTAAAAGCAAGAAAGATTTGACCTAACTCAAAAAAAAAAAAAAAAAAAAAAAAAAAAAGACAATCCAATATGCATTCAAGAACTTGCTTTATTGTTCCATTTTTGATTAACTTTTTTATTGTTATAATTATAAAGTTACTAGATAAAACAATTAGGCAAAACCACATACATTCTCTCTCTCTCTCTCTCCTTTCTTCCTTCTCTCCTTCCCTCCCTTCCTCTCCACCCTCTCAGATTCCCCAAGTGTTAGCTCTGTGGGGAAACTCAAAATGTCCTACTTCTTCGTTATATAAAAGATGCCCAGCGTGGAGCTGGTGCCTGTCGTAAACCCGACCTGGCTTTCAGCTTTAAGTCATGTTCTTTTCTTCCCTCCTGTGTCCAGAACCCAGAGCTGCTGGGACTTGAGATCTGATGGGGGCTTTGAAGAAGGGACAGACACATGGACAAACATACAAAAACTTGGCTCTGATGGAGCGAAGCTACTAGGCAAGTGGGAACCTTGGGCTGTTTGTTATGAACAGCACAGGAAGGGAGTCTTGGTAATAGGTGCCTGTAGTTAAGCAGTCTCTAGTTGCAGTCCTTTGGGAAGAGGATGCTGCCACTTCCGGCACACACACTGGCCATCACTTGGACTGGAGGAAGGCTTTGCCATCCTCAGCCTCATCCCAGGAAGGCGTCGCCACAGTCCTTGGGTCTGAGGCTTCACCAGAGTCCTTGAGTCCTCTGCATAGCTGTGCCCATGCGGACAATACACATCCACCCGGGACTTTATCTACTACACACACTTTCAGTCAGGACTTCCTGGGCTCCCCACACTTCTGCAGTCACCATGCTGTTATCCTTTAAAAAAAAAATCAAAACAAGAAAAAGAAACATCCCATTCTTTCCATTTCTGGTAAAGGTGGCTTTAAATCTTTTAACTTGTTTCTTTATGGAAAATAGTCTCCGTGGAGAAGAAAATCTAATGCTATTGCATACAGAGAACCATGTGCCTTCTTGGTGTGTATGTGTTTTTACATAAATAAATTTCATTGCTTTAGGCATGTTTAACATCCTGTCCTTTTCCACTTGACACTAGAGCCTTATCAACAGGGGTGTTCTGTATCACTGTCAGGGAAGAATACTGCGGTGAATGTCTTCCCCACATCTCACGTTCTGAGAGTAGGATTACTGGTCTGCTGCAGGACTCTTAGTCTTTTCCTGCTGAGTCACCTTTAAAACCAGCTTCAGGTCTGCCCACTTTACACAGGGAGGGGCATGAGAATATTGGTACCCTTCAAGTCGCCAGACTTTACCAAGACACGAAAGTACCTATTTAACCCCAAAGTATTTACTTATTAAAGTATCTATTTATTAAAAAGTATCTGTTTACTAACAGGCTGACTCCTATCAACCTAGTTTTGCTTTGCTTATTTATCTGAAATAGCTTGTGCTTTTATTTTGAGATATAGCCTCATTGTGTAGCTCTGGCTGGCCTGGAATTCACCATGTAGACCAGGCTAGCCTCAAACTCACAGAGATCTGTCTGCCTCTGCTTCCTGAGTGCTAGCGTAAAAGTATTTTTCTTAGTAAGTCATGTTCGGCAGTACTGAACTCAAGACCTTATACCTCTGAAGCCAGCATTCTACCACTGAGCATACATGCCAGCATCTTTTTCTGTAATTTTTACGAAGTTCTGGGTAGAGGCTTCCGTGCAGAGATGCTGTGACTTCACCTTTTCCCACAGTCACCGCTCTAACATCTTCAGGTCACACCCAGGCTTGTTTTCCGGATTCTGTGCAGTTGCCCCTTCAATTGCCTCACAATTGCTCTTCGCTCCTATGGTGTTTTCTCATGTCCTGATGCTTTCTTTCAAGGTATTATCCAAAGAGATGAGTCACCCATGGAAAAAGGGCTCTCTGGTCTTCGAGGAAGGGACTTCGAGCTCTCTGACGTGTTTTATTTCTCCAAGAAGGGATTGGAAGCCATTGTGGAAGATGAGGTGACCCAGAGGTTCTCTTCCGAGGAGCTCGTGTCATGGAACCTCCTCACGAGAACCAATGTCAACTTTCAGTACATCAGTCCGAAGCTCACTGTGGTGTGGGTACTGGGTGTCCTAACACGCTATTGCCTCCTGCTACCCCTGAGGTAAGTCACTGGCCTGGTTCGAAGGTGCCGTCAGTTTAGAGTTCCTTTTCATCATGTGTTTAATGGCGGCCGAAGAGTATTACAGGATGGCTCTCACCTCACGCCACCATATTAACTGCCTATTCCTTTTACATTTTTTTCTTCCAAATAAAAATGTGCACTCAAACCCCCCCCCCCTCATGTGTGTGTGAGTGTGTGTGCATGCATGTGTGTGTCTTTTGCTCTTATAGTGGTAAATAATTTGAGGATGGAGGCAGAAGAGAAGTTAGGGCAAAGAGGGGGGTGGGTAGCTAGCTCAGTCAGTTTGCCAGGTAATCATGAGAACCTGATTCCACCCCCAGAACATGAGCTGAGTGTGATGGCCAATGTGTGTAGATCTCTTGTTGGAGAAGCAGAAACAGGTGGACTTTGTGGCCTTGCTGGGCCAGTGGTTGGTTCTTTTCCTGCCTGGGGAAAAGAGCTCAGGATGCCAGGAGGGGCTGGCAGTGAGCACCATACAGGGACCACAGACCCAAAATAGGTGATGGCTAATTCAGCTTTAATTCCAGAGAACAAAGATTATACACCCTTTGGCGAGCGGGTGGGTGGGACTAGGTGAGCATAATTGGTTGGAACCAGGCACTTCAAGGATGCTTGATTTGCATTATACAGCAGGCTCCTATCTTATGAATGAAAACACAGTACCTAATTAACATAGGCCTGTGGGAGGGGAGAGCTAGCAGGGAGCTGTGTCAGAGGATATATCAAAGGTGGTTAGGGGAGTCTGTGTCTAAAAGACTCCAGATGCAGTCGGGCAGAGAGCAGGGTACCCTGCCTAGGGGAGGAGTCCTGCCTTTTATGCTAAGCTCAGAATGGTGAGAACTACAGCCTCAAGCAGCCAGTCTAACCTACTTGGCCAGTTTCAGGCCAGTGAGAGACCCTGTCCTAAAAACCATGTTTTTAAAATGGATGCGAGCCGAGCAATGACTCGAGAGAGCCATCGCTTTCTGACATTCACATGTGCATGCCCACACAATCCCCTCCCCACGTGAGAGAGTTAGTTTCATATGAGCCAGAGCATCAGCTAAGACAGCACTGCCTACAGGCAGGTATGGCCTCATCTCTGGTGTGTAGAACTGACAGGTGACAGCACCTATCCTAGAGAGCATCCCGGAGAGCGTCGATACACCAAAAGGGCCATTCAGTGGTGTGAGTTTTTTCTATCCAGTTCCACCACTGCAACTGGGTTCTTAGTAAAGGCTTCCCGTCCTGAATGGTCTTCTGATTTAAGGCTTGAATGCAGCCTCAAGACAGAGATGACAATGTGGCCATGCTCTCTCTATGGTGATGGTAGGGAGCAGGCCTGGGTACCAGCCACAGCGATGGTCATCAGCATCTTCTTGGACATAACTGTGACTTCCAGAAGTTGCTTCCTGCCAGCCTCCATTGGTACATGAATTGACACTTCATTTCCGTGCCTAGGGCAGGAGATACTGGCCTCCTTCAGATCTGGCACTGGGGACAGCCTTGTTTTTAGCATTAAACATTGCTTAAGAACAGGCAGATGGGGCTGGAGAGATGACTCAGGGGTTAAGGATATTCGCTATTCTCCCAAAGGTCCTGAGTTCAATTCCCAGCAACCACATGGTGGTGAATGACCATCTATATAGTAGGATCTGGTGTGCAGGCAGAATGTCGTATAAATCATAAATAAAAATCTAAAAAAAAAAAAAAATAGACAGATGCAAATCACTAAGAAGTTCTGTGTGTGTGTGTCCCTTCATGTGTTAACATTGTGGCTTAGGCTGTCTTTTGGGAATTGTTGCAGCTGTGATAAACATTGAAATTCAGGATTTTTAGAACCTTAACCCAGTGCTCCCAAAGTGGGGCTCAAATGCCCTGAAAGTGCACAGGACTATCTGTTGACTTTGGGAAAGAAATTTAGAGCTTATAGTTTTTGTCTTGTTTATTTGGTGTTTTTTTTTTTTTTCCCCCAGACAGGGTCTCATGCAGCCCAGCATCCTATGCCACCTAGATGGTCATGAACCCTGATTCTCCTGCTTTGCCTCCCAAATGCTTAGATTACCAGTGTGTGTCTCCATATAATATTTGTTAGAACTTTCCATCTTTTTCTCTTCCTTCCAAAATGTGTCACAGAATGATCTATAGAGTCATGTTAGAACTGATAGATTTTCTAGCCCTCTTCATCGCTGCACCATGCTCCATAGTGTTCTGCGAGTTACAGCTTTGCTAGTGATCAGTCTGTGAGTGACTCCTTTAGGCTCTCGTCCTATTATCCAGCAAGTGTTTGCAGCAGCCATTCTTTTTTTTTCAGGGTTACCCTGGCTTTCATTGGGATCAGTTTGCTGATTATAGGAACTACACTGGTTGGGCAGCTTCCAGACAGCAGGTGACGTGTCCCCTCGCCCCACTTAGCCATAGGTTGGGCTGTCTTTTCTCACTAGCTTTGTCCCCAAAGCCAGCTTTCATAGGGTTTGCTTTAAGCTACTTATGAGAATTCTTACTTCATAGTCTTTATTGCTTTTTCATCATACTTTGGTTCAAAGTGTTGAACCAGGTTTTGTTTTTGTTTTTTTTTTTTCCGAAGGAGAAATGAAGGGACAAAGGAAAGTTGGAATGAGGGACCCAGAGGGATTAAGAGTTGCAGATGCTGGCAGCCTGGAAGACCAAGACCAAAGAGCCCTCAGCTGGTCTTGGTTAGGACTTTCTTGTAACCTAGTGGGGTGGAAGCTGGCTCCTACTAAAATTTTATCTAATCCCCCTGGTACACTTTGGGACTTCAATAGCAAACACACCGATGAGATGGCAAGAATCCAACTGCTGTTCAGTGTAACAGATCACGGGATGCTGCCGTGAACGGCCCATTGATGCTTTTATTGTGCTTCTTAGGAATAGCCAGAACAAAATAGTAAAACGGCTTCTTTTTCCTTCAGCCTCAAAAACTGGCTGAGTGAACTGGTGCATCTCACCTGCTGCAGGATCTGTGTTCGCTCCCTGTCTGGTACTATTCACTACCACAACAAGTGAGTGTCTGCTTCATGGCTGCCCTGCTTCACATGGGGGGCGGAGGGGAGGCAAGAAGGAGGCAGCAGGTGGGATCTGAGAGCTTCTGTGTTACCCATTGCCTCTTCAGGTGTCTCAGACATAACAAAGCATTATGCTGCCAGAAGGAATGTAAGAACCAGCAGTGAGCAGTGCTCATAGCTGGGCATTTATAGTGTGCTGGGGGGAGGGGAGGGAGGTGTGCCTCTCATGGATTTTTCTTGGGGGTGACCACTACTATTCCTTTGGATAGATGAACAGTGGAAACTCTACGTCTGGTTGCTATGGGTGATACATGGTCAAAGTCAGGCTCTGAGCTGGGCCTGTCTGCCTTGAAGATGCTGCTGCTGGAAGTGCTGGGCATGGCAGAGCTTGAGCCTGTTGCCCAGGCTGTCTCTCCACTTCTAGAATTCTCCACCTGGCTCTTAAGACAAAAATATTTCATTCTCTTCTCTTTACCCAGATAAGAAAATACAAGTAGCTAGGCAGAGTCTTCAGCTAAATTAAAATGATTATGATTGCTTTTGAATTGCTTTCCTCTTAAAGTTCTTTTTTTTTTAAGAAATTGTTATTATTTATTAGTATCACTCTCTTTGAGACAAGACCTTGCCACGTAGCCCTGGCTGTTTTGGAGCTCATTCAGTAGTACCGTGTGGCTCCTAGCTTGCTGTAATCCTCTTGCCTTTGCCTCCCAAGTGCTGAGATTACAGACTCAAGCCAACCTGCCTGGCAGCACCAGAATGATAAAAGTTCCAGAACAAGCTGCTCCCACCCTGATCGAGTCTTTCTGTCTCATTTATAGGAGGAGATATTTTGTCATGTGCTTTGACCAGGTGTTTATCAACATAGGGCTCCTTCAAGTTTTTCGATTGGTTGTGTGTGGTGGCCCATGCAGTAAGCCTAGCATCTGGGAGGCTGAGGCAAGAGAATCAGGTGTTCAAGGCCGGTCTCAGCTACATAGCCCATTTGAGGCCAGCCTTAGCTACAAACAGAGACCCTGTCTCAATGACATAAGACCACACTGTACTTAGAGCATCAACATAAATCAAAAGTTGTGAAGAGAATCAACATAGATCATAATTGTGAAGAGAATGCAATAACCCATCACCCATCTCATCATACCACACAGGGATAATACATTAAAGATGGGCCTGTGTACCTAAACTTGAGGGGGAAAAAGGCCTTAAATAGGATGAGTCTTTACAGGCGGTTCTGTAAAATATCCCGTGTTTTCTGAGATGCAGTGCTTACTTACTTACCGTTACTTTAACTGCAGGCAGTACAGACCCCAGAAGGGAGGCATCTGTGTCGCCAATCATACCTCTCCCATCGATGTGTTAATCTTGGCAACGGATGGATGTTATGCCATGGTAAGAGCAGCTCTCATTGATACTTCAAGCCTGTGTGTTTGTTGGATTATTAGTGTCTTACTAGAAATTTGGCTGGGACATAGCTGCATAGGCTTTGCATTATATTTACAATAGAAACAAACAGTCAAGGAAATTTGTGTAATAGCTAAGGAGGAGAAAATACCTTACTGAAATGTAGATCGGCTTTGGTAGAACTTTGTAAAGCTGACTTTGTCTTGTTTTGAACATCCCAGCCGGTGTGTGATTATACTGTAAAAATTAAAGTCATCCTCTTCAGACTTTTACAGACCCCCTACCAGCCAATTAGTTCTCTTTTCAGGAAGATGAGCACAATTAAAAAAGTAAATCTGTGTCTTTAAATGAGGATCTGGCAAGGAAGGCTGAACACTTGTGCCACAGCCCAGTTCTCAGATTTTGTCCGCAGCCTCAAAGAGAGGAAAAGAGCAGAAAATCTACAGTAACCACAAAATCCACAGCAAAACCACGTCCCCAGATACCCTTTGCTGGGCACGAAGGGACCCCGCCCTCTGGCGCTTCCCTGTATCTTCTGTTGTCTGTTGCTCTAACATTTTGTCTTGACACTTCCTCTGCTGAGTGGATGTCAGATGCTGACTGAAGCTCCCCTTCCTGCTCACCGGTTAATTGTGTCCTAAGGTATTGTTTTTCAGATGACTGGATGAGTGTTCCGGGGTTCTCCTATTCTCACAGGTGTGGGGTGTGGGGTGTGGATTGTGGGTTGGGCTGTGTGGACCGTAGGTGGGTCGGTTCACTGATCAGTTTTCCAGGTTGATAGTGGTGGTCTGCAGGCTTTCCTGGGAAAGCCTTGAAGGCGGGGAGCCCTTTAGATTAGGTGTGTGCTGCAAGTGCGGGAGTGAGCAGGGAATGCCAGCATGCCCACCGGCTTTCACCATTCATAGGCTGTTTGATCAACAAAGCCTTTGCATAAATCCCCACTAACTGCCACACATTCGCTTTATGTGAAATTCTAAGTTCAGTGGCTTCAGACTTGCCCCAGTGGTAGAATACTTGAAGCCCCGGGATCCATCCCCCAGCACTGCCAGAAAAAAAAAAAAATCCTAGCACACAGGGGTAGGCAGGAGGATAGCTGTAAGTCTGAATCCAGCCTGGACTACATAGCAGGTTCCAAGCCAGTCAGGGCTACACAGTAAAACCCTGACACATACACCAATTTCTCCACCAAGGCAGATAAATAAGTGAAGTAAAATCTTCAGAATATATAACCTTTAGACAAGTACATTTTAATGCATCATTAATTTATGGAACTGGGCTTTTTTTGAATCTAAGGAATCTTTTGTCATCTTGGTGGAAAGAGATAGGAGGTGGTTGTTTATCTTTTTTGTAGGTTGGGAATTAATTTGTAGTTATTTACTTTGAAAACTAAAAAGAAACCGTATTGCATATGCATTAGACAAACACAATTTTGTATGCAATTTCAGTATTTAGGCAGCCCCCACCCCAGCCGGTAGCCTACCCAAGGCAGCCCTCAGTAGCACCCCAGCACAGACCTGGAAATATCATATCAGTCTTTGGTGTAGGTGGACATGCCCTTCTATCCACTGCGCTTGATTATCTCTATGATGCAGCTAGGCCTGGCCTGAGGTTTCATTGTAGGCGGGGAGGCAGAAACCTGGGCAGCTGATCTGCCTTTCTCAGGTCCATCTTGTGCTCAGCTAACAGTACTGCAGATGGGGTAGTTCAGAATTTATTGGCTCACTCAGGCTGAAGAGTCTAAAGTCAGGACATCTACTGAGGCTCCGACTGTCCTGCCTTTACATGCCAGAAGGGCTGGAATAATAGGAGGAGGTCTGCTCCCAAGAGCCCCCTCCCCTTGTAAAGATATTTACTTTTTATTTTGTGTGTGTGTATGTCTGTGCATCATATGTATGCAACTCCCTGGGAAGCCAGAAGAAGGCTTTGGAGGTGATACGGGTTAGCTTCCATGCCGGTATTGGGAACTGAGCCTGGGACCTCTGCGAGAGCAGCAAGTGCTCTTAACTGCTGAGCCACCCCTCCAGCTTTAGCAAGGGCCCTTTTAAGAATGGCTTTAGTTGGGCAGCACTGTGTGATCCAGACCCTTCTTGTTTGGCCTCTCTCTAACACTGGTGCACCGAGGAGTTTCCAGTGCACGAATTCTGGGGAACATGTGTAGACTATAGCAACTGGTTGATTATGATTTTTTGTTTCGGAGACGACACCCCATTTCTTCTGCGCTCCAGAAGACAGAGAATTGATTATAATACATTTGAAGCTGAAGACCTCAGAATGCTGCTGGTCTTTTTGTAGTTTTGCTACACCGCACTCGGTTTTCCTTTCTTCTTTCTTGAAGGGTTAAAAAAACGCAGATGGATTGTTTCCTTTTTCATCTCGCCCAAAAGATAGCACACTTACCTGTTCTTGTTCCTTTTTCATTTAACACTGTTTTCTGGAAATCACCACTCCATTTATGTCCCAGAGGTCAGCCTGGTCCTTTGTTCAGCTGCGCAATAGTCTGCTTGATATATGCATGTGTACACATACTCTCTCTCTCTCTCACACACACCCACACCCCGCACTACCTCATTATTGACAGTACTGCTTACCCATTTGTTTTTATCCATTTAGACATTTAGGTAGTTTTCAGTGTTTTGCAGTAATAAACAGGGCCTTAGATAATACGTTTTTTGAGAACGTGTTTTCCATTTCATTGATGTTGTACTTTCAGAGAGAATTCCTAGAAGAGAAATGACTGGCGTGGAGGGTAACTGAATACGTAATCTTGACAGCTATGAAATGTCTTCACTCCTCCTCCCAAGCACGGTGTCCTGAACCTGGATTCAGAGTGTGGTGTCCAGCAACAAATCCTTGTCATTCGGGAGCATTTAAAATTGTGGTTCAGTGCATGGGAACTTGCATTTCCATAATCTTGATGGAGCCGAGGGATCTCTGCTTTTCAGAATTCTAGGACAGCCAGTGGAACAAAGAGTAACTTAAGTGCTGCCAAAGAGCACATTTTGGCTTGCCTTTGGCTTTGCAAATCATCTGATTAGATTTAGAACTTGTCCATCAGTAGAAAACAGCTGATCCTCTCTCTGAATAGAGAGGAATGTATTGGTTCCCCCTTCCTTCCCTTGAAAAGACCCCTAGCTTTCTTTGGGTGGCTGTGCCTTTATGTTTTTCTGTTTCTCCCAATCCTTCTAGGTTGGACAGGTGCATGGTGGCTTGATGGGGCTCCTCCAGAGAGCTATGGTCAAGGCTTGTCCACACGTCTGGTTTGAGCGCTCAGAAATAAAGGACCGACATCTGGTGACTAAGAGGTAAAAACAGCTCAGTTCCTTGGCCTTTAACACAAAAGCTGATTGGTGGGTCATTTTACCAAAAGAGAAAAAAAAAAAAAAAGATTTGTTTAAATAGAAACAAAATCACCCAAAGCTGTATTTGCAGCTAGTTATTAATGAAAATGATGTAATAATTCTGCAGTTAGTGGGATCTATGTTACATATAGGCTGGAAAGCTCAGACATTTTATTTTGCTGTGTCTTGTGTATGATCACTGGACTTCTAAAGTTTAAAGTTACTACCTTGAGTGTTAAGTAATTGATCATTTATTTGCCGAATAAAATGTTGGGTTGTTTTTTGCTAAAAAAAAAATTGACTCCAGTTACCAGTGTAGTAATCACTGCTGTAACTTCATCTCACTATAAAAACACAGGAGGAAATCAGCTTAACAGTGAGGAAAGGTTTATTTTGGCTCATGGTTTCGGTGTAATCAAATCAGTGTGTCCCTTGGCTCTTGTGCTTAGGCTCATGAATGACTGATTACATGATAAACTCAGAGTTTGGGGCAGAGGAAATCTGTTCAGTACATGGGGACAGGGAAACAGAGAGAGTGGAGGGACCAGGGTTTCAGTTTTCCCGTAAAAGGTGTGCACCCAGTGAGCAATATCTTCCAGCCCCATCTCTTAAAGTCTTTGTCACCCCTCAGGGTGGCAGCTAAAGTGTGGACACATAGCTGCAGAGAGTTCATCTAAACTACAGCAGAGGTTTATGGAATGGGTGGGAGGGAGTCTCTGTGGAGACCAACCCACCAGGAACAAAGCCGAGGAAAATCTTTCCTGGAGGGGGCTCTGCTCACTCCTTTTAAACTGCAGGAGTGTCCCATGTTCCTCGTGAAAACTCTTGCCCTTTCAATGTAGTCCAGGCTTTCGATATCTGTGATCTGTGACACCCTCACGTCTCATCCTCCTGGATTCTGGGATTATCGTACCTGGCTGGCCGTGTTTGATTTCATGAGAAAGTTGATCCCAACTCGTTTCGGGACTTTTTCCTTAATGGCCATAATTTGGACAGATCTCATGTAATCAGAATTCTCATTTATTTTGCACACAAGGAAGTATCAGTGCATGGGGAAGGGCAGATGTTAAGGGCACACGGCTGCCTATAAGTAGCTAGGAGAGCTGGGCTTGGTGGCACACACCTGTAGTTCCAGTGCTTGGAAAGTTGAGACAGGAAGGTCAGGAGTTTGAGCTCATTCTTGGCTACATAGTGTATTTAAGGCCAGCCGGAGCTAATGAGACCCCAGCAGAAACAAAGTAGGTGACAGTCACCAAAACCCACGCACTTCACAGTTAGGGAACACGAAAGCATGAGTTCCATATTCCCTTCACCTCTTTATCTCTTATCTCTCTTTTTCTTATGGCTTTTTTTTCCTTCCTGCTAGCAGGGGGTGAAGAACAAGGACTCTTATCTCTTTGTTTCTCAAGGTTGACTCACAGTCCCTTTCTTTCTTTTTTCCTTACAGACTAAAAGAACACATCGCAGATAAGAAAAAGTTACCCATTCTCATCTTCCCTGAAGGTAGGGACAGAGACCATGGCACGCATCAGCAAACCATCGGAGGAACATTCCAGAGCTGTCTCTCCTGTCATGGGGGAGGGGGTGCCCTTTCATTTTCTGATGAGTCACAGAACCTATTTGATTTATAAAGAAATTTTTCCATAATAGTAATAATCAGTAGGGTCTGTGGCTTTGTAGGTGTTACTCCCGAAATGTATTGAAATTGGCAAAAGTGCCCTGATGCCGTTGTTGCTAAGTATTTAAAGGCAAAGCGAAAGTTCTCTGTTAAAATTGTTCACAAGTTTTTAAATTGTTGACTCGCACAGTGGCAGTCACGCGCCTGCGGCTTTGATGAGGTTTTAAATTATAGGAAAGTAGTTCCTGGGCCAGTGAGATGGTTTAGTAGGTGGAGAGCTCTCCTGCAAACCTCATGGCCTGAATTCAATTTCTGGGACCCACGAGGTGGAAGAAGAGGCATGATTCTCTTATATTGTTTTCTGACCTCTAAATACACACACACACACACACACACACACACACACACTTAAAAGGAATTAAAGCAATTCCTTTTAAAATCCGTTTTAAAAAAGTGACTCACTTCCTCTCACTCTGCCAGGTACCTGCATCAACAATACTTCAGTGATGATGTTTAAAAAGGGAAGCTTTGAAATCGGAGGAACCATATATCCGGTGGCAATAAAGGTAAGTTACCTTTTTAAAGCACGGGGGTGTTTTAAAGCACGGGGCAGGGGTGGGGGAGATTTGGTTGTTAACTTTATTTGATATAGTTACAGAAATGTAAAACTCACTAGAATGAAGAACATGCGTGTATTCCGCTTCGTTGGCTCTTTATATTTTACATTGTGTGCTCAGTCTCTCTAGATAGATAACTGACAATTGGTAGATGGTAAGTACACACATACATAGGTGATAAATGATCTATAGATGCATAGATGGTAGGTAGATACTCAGAGACAGAGCTAGATAGACAGATGAATAGATGTAGGCAGATAGATGGCCGATAGACAGCTGGACAGACTGGCAGCATGACAAGGTGGCGGAGGTTGTGTTGGTACTAAGGAGGTCTTGGTGGGCAGATCCGGGTGAGCCCTGCTTTCACTGCCTTCTAGTCAAGTTTGGAGTCACGGACACAGCTCTCCTACTGCAGTGCTCTGGGCTCTATTTGGCAAAGCAGTTTGCAGTAATAGAAGACATTGGTGCTATTGGTTTAGTTCTTATGAAAAATTCTATCAAGTGTAGCAAGTCCTCTTGCAAATCTGATGGACCCATTTATCTCACCACCTGAAAACATTGATTTGGATGAGAGGGGCCAGTGTGGGATTCATGGCTGCAATGTCTTGTCTTTTTTTTCCCAGTATAACCCTCAGTTTGGAGATGCATTCTGGAACAGTAGCAAATACAACTTGGTGAGCTACTTGCTTCGAATAATGACCAGCTGGGCCATCGTCTGTGATGTGTGGTACATGCCTCCAATGACCAGAGAGGTATTTCCTAGATGATATCCGGTCACTGATTTGTTCAGTCAGACAAAAGGGAGAAAGCCTTTGCCTAAAACCTTGGGCGCCTCCATCCCCCTAATCATGCCTTTCTCTTCTCAGCAAATGGGTTGTTTCTCAGTAGTACCTTTAATAATACAAAACAGATAAAAATGAATGAGACAGTTTAAGGTATTTAAAAGCTTCATCCCCAAGATGTGTAACTTTTTCATTTCAACCAGGAAGGAGAAGACGCGGTTCAGTTTGCCAACAGGGTTAAATCCGCCATCGCTGTCCAAGGAGGGTTGACTGAACTTCCCTGGTAAGAGAGAGCTCGGCAGCGCTCATCTGCTTTTTTAAAAAAGATATATGTTAAACAAAAGCATTCTGGTTAGCTACAGACTTAGCAAAAGGGATGTAACAAAGACTTAAGTAAGGCAGAAGCTTTTCTCTCCCCCTTAATTATGGGAGTCCAGGCCGGCATAAGCTTGGGCTTTATTCCTAAGGCAGCGTCAGTAGGTGCTGGCTATTTTATGGCCCAAGAAAGCAGAAAATGGCTCTCTGGGGTGTGTTGGAAAAAGGACACACCCATGTCTGCAGGAGCCCATACTGGAACTTGTACAAGCCGCTTGTATTTGTTTGCTCCAAGTCATGGCGTTGCCATTAGATGCAAAGGAAAATGTGTGATGATGAGGATGTCCTTAGTGAGATGAGAGTTCTTCAACTGAAGACGAGGGAGGGAGCTTGGATTTGGGGGCAGGGCTGTCTGTGTTTCATTCCCACTATAACTGTGTTAGAAAACTTGAAGAAGGGAAGTAGGTGAAATATTGATGATCGATAACTGTAGCTTTCACTTCTTCGGAGGGGGGAAGGTCTGAGAAAGATTGAGGTAGGCGTGTGTGTTAGCTTGGGATAACATAACACAATACCTCGGACTCGCGTCTTATCAGAAGGTGTTGTTTCCAAAGGCTAGAAGTTTGAGATGAGGATGCTGCCCAGCCAGAGCGCAGTGAGGGTTCTTCCTGTGTGTCAGGAGCCTGCTTTCTCTGGGGGCTCCGCAGGACCTTTTCTTTGTTCTGCGAGGAGGGAGCGAGCTCTCTGGCATCTCTTGTTAAAAGGGCACTAACCTCACCATAACGGCCCCACCCTTTTGACCTCCTCCAACCCTAATAATACCCTAAAGTCCTCCTGGTCAAATACTGTCCCAGGAGGAGTTTGGCTTCAACTTACAAACTTGTGCGGATAGAAATGTTTGGAGTAAAGCAGTGAACAGTGAGGGTTGAGTATAACCCACATTGTAGGAGGAGGTCAGGCCTTACACGCATGTGAGCGAGCTCTCACCAGATAGTCTGCTGTCCTTTTTTTTTTTTTTTAGAGAAAAATAAATTTCTTTTATTTTCCCTATTGAAAGTCACACACAAAAATAAAATCATGAAAAGTAGTGTAAGAGGAGTGGCAAGATTGACTCTACTTTTTCCCCTCCCACTCATCTATTTATTTATTCCCTTTACATCCTGTTTCCGCCCCCTTTGTCCTCTACTCCCAGTCCCATCTCCACCCCACCCCCATTCTCCTCTCTCCTTCCTCCCAGAGAAGGGGAGGTCCTCACTTGAGTATCAAGCCACCCTGCATCTCAAGTCACACCAGGACTAAGCACATCCTCCCTCTCTCTAGCTAGGGGGAAGTGACCCAGAGGCAGGCAGCAGAGTCAGAGGCAGCCCCCTCCCCGCTCCTATTAGGGGACCCACGTGTTGACCAAGCTGCACATCTCAAATGGTCTGTATTTCAAGTCCAGCAAGTTCACTACATTCTCTGTGACGTTTTGGATATTTCAATACACTTTATATGATGAGTTCAGTTGAGGTGACTGCAGTGACGTTCCAGGGTTTGGTTTCTGCGTTACTGGCAACCAAGGATGTCAGCAGCACAGGGCCTCAGGGTTATTTAGGGGCTACATCTTCAACGATGAGCTGGCTAGCGTTTTATATTCTTTTGTCCAGTAGTAGGACATATCACTAAAATATATCTTTGCCAATTCACCTATCTTAAAACTAGTTAATTTATACCACCCTGGCCTGTTTCTGGCAAACACTGCTTTTTTTTAACAGGCCACCACTTTTTATAGCAAAAAGGTCAGCTTGAGAAGTTATTATGCTAATTAACCAAACTTTGGAGATTGATGGGATATGAAAGTAGGTGGCAGTTTGTATATTGGATGCCAGATGGCTTCCCGAGCATCTTTCTTGATGGACAGAGCTGATTTCTTCTAACCTGCAGGCTAAGCTGATTTCTTCTAACATTTTGCACTGTGCAATCTATTCTGCAAGTGTTCCGCTGTAACACTGTAGCATCAGAGCGCTCCGGTGTTAGCGGTTCTTCAGGTTCCTATGTGTAGCTGCCTTCCTCTTTCCTCTTCTTAAAACCTCTTTTTCCAGTGCTTCCTCTTACCTGACATGCTAGCCCAGTGTCCCTATACTGAAGCTATTATGAAAAGCATGTGGCTGGCCTTGTGGGCTCAGGGAGAGAAGCTAACATTTAGAGACAGCTAGGGAGTCAGCCACTTAGCGTCTTTGTCAGCAGTGACCTTCAGTTCTCATCCTAGTATTAAGAGACAGAGGCAGGAGGATTCCTATAAGTTCCAGGCGTACCTGGGGTGCATACGGAGTTTTAGGGCAGCCTGGGACTGGACCTATAGACCAGGATGGCCTTAAATTAAGGCCTTTCTTTCCTCTCCTCCTTTATTCTCACTATTCAAAATTCACATAAACTCTAAGAATAATTAGAGGCAGCTTGTTTAGAGAGAAGAGGCTTCTGAGGACGTGGCCAGACCCTCTGATTTTATTTCATGAAAACTGATCCCCAGTGGACTCTGGTCCATTTTCAAGTTGAAGGCTGTGCTTTAGGCTTGACTCTGAGCCTAAACGCTGCACTGGCTTCAGGCAGGTGTCCGTATGAAGGTCAGGTTCAGCCCCCGTGGCATTGAGTTCACTGGGTAACCCATGACTATTCGGCACTGTCAGAGCTTCCTTAACTGGGCTAAAGTTCAACAGTGACAATAGAAAGTAAGCAAGCTCTCAGCCCTCACCCCCGCCAGGAGCTCCAGTCTAGCACAGTGGATCTCAACCTTCCTAATGCTGTCACCCTTTGATACAGTTCCCTCTGTGGTGGTGACCCGCAGCTATAAAATTATTTTAGTTGCTACTTCACAACCGTCATTTCTCTACTGTTGTGAATTGTAATGGAAATTTTGGAGCCAGAAGGTTGCCGAAGGGGTCTCGACCCACAGGTTGAGAAACACTGGTCTAGCCCATTGTACCAGGGGAGGGAGCAATCCGTGCTTGTCCAGTCTCTTTCCAGCTCTTCTGACTTCATGTTCTTTGTGTCCAAGGAAAGAAAAGCCCTGGTAACCCAGACAGCTGTGCAGTTCACAGCCCTGGAGAGAGTTCAAAGATTCAGGGCCGAGGAGGAGGGCTGTTTATAGTGCGCTAACTTTGGGTCAAATGCAGCTTATAATTTTGTTGTTCGTTTTTATCTTGAATCTGTTTTGGGGTATAAAGGTATAAATATGTAAATAACATAGGTGTAAATAACATAGGGTTAAATTTAAATCATTATTTTTAAGAACTTTATCTGTTTCTAACCCACACACGCCTAGCACTTCCATCCTTTCTTGGGTGTGCTTACAGCTCTTCATGGGTTTTCTCAGCAAGCCACAAGTCAATCAAAACCAATGTTTGGTTTTCCTGAGGGAAAAACCTAAGGAAACATCTTGGCTTTAATAATCTTTGTTTCTGGTTAAATATTGGACACAGCAGCTCTAACGTCTGAAACAAAACACACAGGAAGGTAGGGCTGTAGCTCAGCATTGGAGGCTTCCTCAGCAGGCACAAGGCCCCGGGTTCAATTCCAAGCACCAGAAAAACCTCTTCAGGGGAGAAATGGCATGCAGGTGGTATCTCTCTCAGTTTTAACCAAGTGTCAGAGAGCACGAGTGTTCCTGGCTTAAAGGAACACACTCTTGGTCATTTGCAGAACAGAGACCAGAATCTGCTCTTCCTGCTTCCGTTGACTGTTGTATGGCCATGTTTCTTCACGGGCAGAGAGTATCTCCCTACACATGTCCCTTTTCCTTTGCAGGGATGGCGGTCTGAAGAGAGCAAAGGTGAAGGACACCTTCAAGGAAGAACAGCAGAAGAATTACAGCAAAATGATCGTGGGCAGTGGCTCTCCCAGCCTGGACCGGAACTGAAGTACTGTGGACGGGCCTGGCTTCCGAGAACTGGCCTTTAGAAATGAACTTTTATACTATCGTTTCATTGTGTTGTTTTTTTCCCCCTGTTTGTTTATTGTTAATCTTTTCTACTGGATGATTGTCTCTACCTCTTCGTGCCAGAGGCAGAAGCTACAGGTGCCCTTTTGGACATTTTTGTTGTGTATTGGCTCAATGAATTGTAAGCCCGATTCTTGAGTGGAGACAGACTGCCTTTTGCAAAATGACAGTGTCATTGATGATCGAATGAAATCTTTGTATGCAAAAACGTGCTTCCAGAGTAGGTTTGGAACTTGTTAATAAGAGAACTCTCAAAAATGACTCCTAACTCTGTAAATTGATTGTCTCCTCTTTAATCTCTTTTATTTTATTATTATTATTATTATTGAGACAGGATCTTATTTATGTAGCCCAGGCTTGCCTCAAACTCACTGTGTAGCCAAGACTGGCCAGGAACTCTTGATTATCCTGGGTCCATTAGTGCTAGGACTACAGGCCTATGCCCCACACCTCGCTGCTGATTTCACTGTTGTAGCAAGGGTTCACACCACAGTGCATTTCCCATATGGCCACCGTTACGGGAACGTTCTGCTGTGAGGTTGAAAGAAAAACGGAGGATTCCTTTTAGGGGAAAGGACAAATTTGTGGTCACCTGATCTGAAAGGAATGGAATGGAGATTATATTTCCTCATGTGTTGGGAGAACGGTGCTGATTGGTCAGATTCACCCAGGAACCTCGTAGGATCGGTGTTTGTTCCCACAACGCATGTCATCCAGCCACAGTGGGACCAGCTCCGGAAGATCTCCTTTGTGTTACGACTGTCATTATTTTAGTTTTCCGAAGGGAAGGGGCCTTTGAAGATAATAATAATAATCTCACTATCTGCAGCATGCAGGGGTGAGCTGTGTGGTTCTTGCCTCCTTCTGCCCTACCCTCAACCTCACTGTAGTGGTGTAGTCCCAGACTCTCCAGCCTGTTAAACAGGAAACGAAGTGGCATAACTACCTTTTGGAAACTGAGCCTTGAGATTTTTTTTTTTTTTAAGGGGAAACAAGCATTCTCCGAGTCCGATAACATGAGCGATATTTGATACAACGTATTTCTGTTGTGAGAATGTAACCATGTACAGAAAGGGAACTGTCTTATTGACAGAGAATAAATTTTATATTTTTTAAAGGAGTGTGTTGCATCATTCTTCCTCTGTTGCTCCCCCTTCTTCCTGAAAACAACTAGTGCTTTCCTTCTGGCAGACCATGTGGCAGTGAGTTTTCTATCAACTGGACACAAACTAGAGTCATCAGAGCGGAGGGAGCCTCACTGAGAAAATCCCTCTAAAATGGATGGTAGGCAAGCCCTTGGGGCATTTTTTAAATTAGTGATTGATGGGGGAGGGCCCAGCCCATCATGGGTGCTCCCCCCCCAGGGCAGGTGGTCCTGGGTTCTATAGGAAAGCAAGCTGAGCAAGCCCTGAGGAGCAGGCCAGTAAGCAGCACTCCTCCATGGCCTCTGCGTCAGCTCCTGCCTCCAGGCTCCTCACTGCTTTTGATAATGAGCTGGTAAATGGAACTGTTGAGTGAAATAAACCCTTCCTTCCCTGCGTTGCTTTTGGTCATGGTGTTTCATCACAGCACAGTCACCCTAGCTAACGACAGTCCACAACGTCAGCCACCACTGTTTTCGCCTTGGTCCGTGTGGTCTAGCTATTTGGAATGTGGCCCTTGAATTCCACCATAAACAAAGGCCCAGGCTTACAGTATTCTGCAGGTGAACTCGGGCAGGCCTGACACATGTTATCAGCCAGTACTCCTCTGGTGGCTTAGATCCCAAAGGAAACCTAGGATTCCCTCTGGTCTGTGCCTTCTGTTCTCTTCCCCCCCCCCCCCCCGCCATCCCCCCTCTCATACCCCCTCCCAGGTTCTGTTGCCATTCAGTTCTCTCTCTTAATAAAGCCGGGTCAGAGTGATCATGACAGAGTCACATCCAACTGCGCTGAAGTGACCCTTTGTTTGATTCAATTGTTGTATTTGTTTTTTTCTCAGAAAGAGAGGTCCCTGTTTCTTTTTCTTTCTTTCTTTCTTTCTTTCTTTCTTTCTTTCTTTCTTTCTTT